AATAAAAAAATCTCTTTGACCGGCGACGAACACAACAAAACCCCACCCCACGAACACACGGAGCAACAACACTCAAACATGATGAAAAAGACGAAGCAGGCACCAGCGTGCAGGATCGGGACACAGTACGCACACCGCAAAGGACTTGATAGCCAACTGTTCTAACCACACAAAACCAGAAACACAGTCACAAACAGGCCCAGGGGTCAGCAACATCACCACTTAGCCCAATAATTTGGTATATCTCATTATTATAAAACCAACCTTCAAACATCGGCTATACCTGCAATTCATTATCAGGAATAGATCTTGCATCTCCACAACCTGAGAGGTGAGGACTGAGCTCCCATTCCACTAAAACATAAGATGACTATTTTCTTGCAAATGATTGATGGGCAACAAATTTCAAGCATATACCTGTAGAAATTTTCATGAGTAAACAATAATGAGTATGATGCACGACACATGTTGTGAGCTTTGAAGAATTCTTTCGAAAACAGTTCCAAGTTGAACCTTTAAATATTCAACCATTTCTACTGCCTAGGGCAAAGAAGTACTGGACATTCTTATTGGCACTTTGGACATTGTGCAAAAAAGGTAGCTACTAGTACACTACCATTAATTATTTTTACTCGTGCTTCTAACACTAGTTCTAAGCTGCTGGTTAATGTGTGTATAGTGTACACCTGGGAGATTAGAGAGAAACATGGTCCCCGCACATACATTCATTTACCCCAATTATACATTTTCATGTCTTGCTAGCTAGATTCATAGCATTAACCAACCAAGTTCGCCTCATAGTTTCTCGAATAGACACGAGTTCCATAGCTTGAATTTGTTTTAACAGAAGAAACACCGACAATTCAATTCAACATTCTCAACACATATTGGTAAACAAATGCAGCATCAAATTCACTATAGTTTCTAGGATTTATGTCCCTAAAATTCACTTCATATTACCGCCTTAGATGGATTTAACTAAAACGGTGGTAGTCTGCTTATACTTCAAGAACCTTGATTGGAGGAAAAATAGAGATCTAAAACGACATAGTCCCACCTCATGAACGTACAACACAAAGTTCTGACCATGGTAACAACACAAACACCATAGACCCTCTGTTTGTAAAGCGTCACTAAAGCGTCGCTTAAGCGACGCTTAAGCGTTAGAGCGCCCTCCAGGCTCAAAGCGTCCAACTCGCTTTAGACATGTGTCTAAGGCGTCCGCCTTAGACACTAAAGCGTCTGAAGCGCCTGCTTAAATAAAGTTAATGCAAGATAAATTTCAGCAATTAAATAAAGTTATGCACAAGTAACCAAATAGATAAATAACATCGTCCAACAAAAAACATAAAACGACCAGGTTGGCTTCTACCATATATAATTTCTCCCCACCCACTGCACAAAAACAAATTGGCGCCTACTATTTTCGGTCAACAACAATTAATTTGCTCTACCCAACTGTGTTTCGCTTGCAACAGCTACTAAATGTAGTTATACTGATCATAAACTTTGGAAACTTATATGGGATAAAGATGGCAATGTGAAGGCCAGAAATTCAGTATTGAATTAGATGAAACTTGCCACGCTCTCCAACATTTGTTAGCACTATGCTTGAAATCCACGATCAGAATAGGAACGCAACACACCTGTTTACATGTTATTACTCTCTCTGTACATAAATATAAGTCGTTTTAGAGACTTGTATGTTCAGTCTAAGACGCCATATATTTGTGTACAGAGGAAGTAGTTAGTAATAAGGTCGAGTGCTTCTTCCATGCATGACATAATACTGAGTTGTAAATAATGCTTCTTCTCAAGATGCAGTCTCATGATCTGCTTGATGTTTCCCAGGGATGACCAAATTGGTAGCGTGAGGATCCCAGTTACTCACAGAGGCGGGCAATGGCATGTACAGGGCTGAGCAGCACCGCTAGGCTCCAAGGGACTCATTCAACCAACATCTTCCTTCTGCACAACCACTGCAAGCGAAATATGAGCTCAAGTTGCTACCCAACTCATACAGATTTAAACCCAATTGATCAGTCAAAACGAAAAGTACAATCATCCGAGCATGAGGTATAGAGTAGAGCACCACGAAATCCTAGGTTACCTCTTCCAGCCGTCGTATACGAGCCCCTTTCCATCCTCCCGCGCACTCTTCTTCGGCACCCCAAGGCCGCTGCCGCTTTGGTCACCTCCCTCACCTCTCTGGCTCCCCTTACAACCTAATCGGACGACGATGAGGAAAGGAAATAGAAATCGAATCTATTCAACCTATTGTAAACTCACTATAAAAGTATAAAAGAACATATGCCTTGTCTGGAAATTGCAACTATAATTATTAAAATAAATTTTCACGTACATAAACTAATTAGACCATTAGGCAGTTCATTTTGAGTGAACAGAACACCCTCCTTAAGCGATTAACAGTTTCTCATGATATCTATGGTATAATAGAATAAACAAACCAAAGAAAAGCTATATATGATTACTAAAAATTGTTGTTTGCTATCAAGAAAAGTGATGGTGTTGCATCAAGATGATCTAAATGTAAATCAAATGGAGCTGAATTCTGAACCTGCTTCTCGCGGCTAGCTCGTCTAACAGTGGAATATGAGTAGCACATTTGTATGCACAACCGTATTGCAGTAGCTAAAGGGGCTTGTCCCCCTCTCCCTCATGTCATTAGCTATCAATAATCATTACCTAGTTAGCCATTTGTAGAACAAGGTAAACACAGAGAAAACGAGATGGATTAATTCCTGATTGATGAGATGTATCCTCTTAGCATTACTCAAAAAAGGATACCTGATAGATGAGATGTATACTCTTAGAATTACTCGAAATCACCGAGTTCACTTTCACATACCTCAAGATCAGGTAGAACTTTATCTAATTATCGTCTACTCAAAAAGCATTTCAATTACTTGCAAAACCTGCCATCACCAAGACATCAACACTTGTAGCAATAGACATCATACATTACAATATATATCATCGGCTCATCTCATGTTGCCTAAATCTACATGGACCAATCAAATAATTGTAGCCATATGAAAGAAAAAACTGAAACAGTTCAAAGAAAGGCAAAGAATCTTCAGGCTCTGTAGCAACAGTGGGATTGCTCTTATTTTCGACAAACTCCTTTTGTGTAGAAGCAGTCAATCATGTCTAAAAAAATCTGGAAACAGCTAGCAGGCTAACAAATATGTCATTATTACTGCACATGACTGAATGCAAACTACAGTAAGGGGCATAACCTGTGAAGATGGCCATCCGTCCTTGTTGCTGCAATTGCATAACTCCAGATTTCATTTTTTATGTCATTAAGCAACTCAACGAACATGTGAAAAGCACACCTGCAGTAGGAAGATTCAGCAGCCACATGCAGCAAGTCAGGAGTCGTGAATGAGTAAATCAGAGAAAGGAGAAAAGATGAAATCCAGAACATAAGTGGGAACAGAAATTAGATCCTTTTTACATCAAATCAAGGCTAAAAACGTGTTGAAACATACCGTTGGGTGTCTAAGGCTTTATGTTTTCCAGATCAAAGAAGAAAACGATCTAGTTTTAAAGAGGAGAGTGATTAACCTACCTCCAATCATCAGGGGCGTGCAGATCTGAGTAGGGGGTCGATCCGGAGGAACCAGCATCCACCAAGCCCCGCCGCCTCAACAGGAGCTCCTCTCCCTGCCCTCCGGCCGGTCACCGGAGCCGCCGCCGGCGGCGACCGCCTCCCTCACCTTGTGCCCCTTATCCTCATTTCTTCCTATCTCCCTCATGCCCTGGTCTCTTAGCATCAACAGGACACCGTCGCCACCGGAGCAAGACGCCGCACCCGCCGCCAGATCCATCGACGCCGCGCCCGGATGGCCAGCGTGGCACCAGATCGAGCGCCTGGCGGTTGGGATCGGGAGGCGAGGGAGAGGAGAGCCCGTTCTCGTGTGTGTTTCTGGTGGTTTTTTTCACTTTAAAAAGGACCGTGTGATGAATACAGTAAACTATAAGGATTTATTTGTAAAATGTTTGAACGAAACGTTTTCTCACTTAAGAAAGGACTGCGGGTTGAATACTACAAAACAGAGGGGCTTTTTTGCCAAAGCGTCGACGACGTACGACCAGAAGCAGTAATTGCTTTATTAGTAGGGAAAGATAAGATGGTATAGACTAGTTATGTGCCCTTGCGTCGCTACCGGGACCAAATATTATTTACAACACAATAAAATGACCATATGAGATAAATATTGATGCAAAACAGGTAAAGAAAATAGGTATGTGCCCTTCTTCTTGATTCGGTTATCAATCGAAGATGTGATATTGATTGATACTACTTGTCTACGGACCGGAAATTTATTGCTACTTATTGAGTTACCAAATATGTTTGACCAATATTAGACTTTATCATAAGAAACAATTTAATTATTTAAGGGCCGTCGCCCAACATAGTGGAGCTTAGAAGGATGGTCCAGGCAGCGGCCAGTACGACTGTGGGGAAGATAGAGGGGAAGGCAGGGTGGCGAGGCGGCGCTAGCTGTCGGTCGTGGGGCGACGGAGGCAGACGGTTAGGCAGGGGTCGGCGGGCGGCTGCGTGAGGTAGAAGAAGGTGGAGGTAGAAACTAAACAGTGTCCGATCTATTTTGAGCCGCTCGATGAAGAGGCCTGAATGGAAGTAACTGATCCAGAATGCAAGCTGTACTAAAACAACTCCAGCCATAACTTTGTATATGTTTGATCACGTGATTAGGGGACGGAGTACATGGCCAATAGCATTTCTTTTTATCTCTGGGGTAGCTCAATTACACCATTATACTTTAGTGGACGCACTGACCTCACGTCAACTTGCTCTACTACACCCCACACAGTAATCTGGCTATCAGTAGCAGACATCTACCTACTCTCTAGCATCAAAGTGTTGACGTTGTAGCCCGGGGTCATCGTCGTCTTCCTCAAAGCTCTGGATCGAGCGCCGTGGCGTACCTCCCTCCAATGAGAAATCTCATTCACATCACCGCAACCTGGCTCGGCGGCCAGGTGATGGCGATGGGGCTCGTCACCGAGTGCTTGCGGTCGCTCCACTCCATGGACCCGAACGTGTGATTCTTCGTGACGCTCCCGAAGCTACGCTGTGCAAAGGTGACCACGAACTTCTGTGTCCTCCGTCTCGCGCTGAACCGCAGCGTCGGGGGGGTCACCGTGACGCGCACGCCGTCCGGGGCAGTCACCTTGGCCCTGTACGTAGCCCTGGCATGGCCGCCGACGTTGCGCACGACACGGCGCTGCGTGACGGCTGCCGTTTTGTTCGCGGTGAACACCACCGATAAGGCCGGATAGTTGTGGTCGCCGAGGGAGGCGCCCGCGCGGGCCGAGCAGTTGGCGGAGGAGCCGAACAGGGTGACCTGCTCGGCGGTGTAGCCGAGCGCGCACAGGAAGGCGATGTAGTCCTCCGTGTCGGCGTCGTACACGAGGCCCGGGTCCACGGCGCGGTTGGGGTCGATGTGCCCAGCCCCGCGCGCGAACGGCGTGGACTCGCCGCCGATGGACATGTCGCCGATCACGCCGCCGGCGCCGTCCACGTTGTACGCCGTCGTCATCAGGGCCGACTTGACCGCGGCGGGGCTCCACTCTGGCCTCGCCTGCCGGAGCAACGCCGCGACGCCGCTCACGTGCGGGCAGGACATGGACGTGCCCGATACAATTGTACTGCACTCGCCTCGTGTCGCTAGCGAGCCCGGTGGGCGAGTTGGCGCCTGTCCATGCGGCGAGAATGTCCACGCCCGGCGCGGTCACGTCGGGCTTCAGGATCTCGGGCGCGCGGACGTTGGGCCCGCGGCTAGAGAAGGACGCCATCCTAGGGGACGGCGGCGTACGGCGGCCGACGACGGTGCCGCGGAACACGATCGTTGCGGTAGGGGTTGTTTCCATGTTGATGTACTTCTTGATCTTCTCGGATGCGGCAAATGGGACCACCGTGGCGGGGATGAGATTGGCGCTGATCATAACCTGCTCGCCGTATGATTCGATGCTACCGAAGATCGCTCCGGCACCGCCGGCGAGCTTGACGGCTTGTTCTTTCACAGCCCGGGCGAACATGCCGGGGTCACACACGACGATCTTCCCGGCTACCATGGTAGCGTTGAGCTTCCCATCTTCGCATATTTTCGAGCCGACGTCCCCTCCATAGACCAGTGGCATCTTGGTGGCGCCGAACGGCTCGCCCGCATACAGAGAGGTGCCCGTGAAGGTCTCGCCATTGCCGAGAATGGCGTCTGCCCGGAACTGGCGGTTGAGCGTGGACGCGCCCATCGTCAAGAACCACGGTGCTATGTTGGCGGCGGTGTACTCTCCGGGGCCGGAGTTGCCCGCAGAGGCAGAGACGAGGATGCCTTTGCTGACCGCCCGGAACGCGCCTAGGGCGATGATATCGGCATAGAAGTCAGGGGCCTTGCCGCCGGCGCTGAGCGATGCAGAGATGATGTCGACGCCGTCCGCGATGGCCTCATCAAACGCGGCGAGGGTGTCAGAGCTCGGGCACCCTTCCTCCCAGCACGCCTTGTAGACCGCAATGCGCGCGCCCGGGGCCATGCCGACGGCCTTTCCTCTGGCATAGCCGTAGAAGCCCGCGTCGGTAGCAGCAGAGCCGGCGGCGGTGGAGGCGGTGTGGGTGCCATGGCCACTGGTGTCAAGTGGCGACTCCAAGTCCTCACCGAGCGCACGGCCGCGCGCAGCCTCCTGGCCCTTGTGGAAGAACTTGGCGCCGACGAGCTTGTTGTTGCAGAGCGCGGAGCCGTTGAAGGACGGCCCCGAGACGCAGCCGCCGCGGAACCTGCCGGGCGGCAGCGACGGGTCGGCGGCGAAGGACGCGCGGCCCTCCGGGCACACCCCGGTGTCGATGACCCCGATGACGACGTCGGAGGCGCCGTTGGACGCCGGGAGCATCCCGGAGGATGGGGAGAGGCCGAGGAAGGACGGCGTGAGGGTGGTGTGCAGCTCCAGCATGGCATCGGGCACGACGGCGAGCATGGAGGCCGAGGACGCCAGGTGCGCGGCCTGGCGCCCCGTGAGGCGCGCCGCGAAGCCCGTGGCGGCGTGCGAGTAGGAGTAGAGCACCGTCGGCGCCGGGCTGGAGAGCTCGGCGGGGAAGTGCTCGCGCAGGAAGGAGCCGTACGCCGGAGTGGTCAGCAGGCCGCGGCGCGGCAGCCGTGGCGCGTGCGCTGCCGCGACGTGCACGATGTAGGAGGACCGTGGCTCCCCCTCCGCCGTCTCGATCTCCACCACCTCCGTGGCCGCCGCCGCGGCGACGAGGGCGAGCAGGACGCACAGGGCAGCGAGTGGTCTGAGGAGCTCCATTGTCGATGTGACTGCAAGACGGCAGGGACGGGGCACAAGGACGCGGGGGAAGTAGTTGCCGATCCATGTCACCGGCGAGATCGATGTCCGCTCGTGGGCTAGCTCGTGCTGCCGATCCATGTCACTGGCGAGATCGATGTCCGCTCGTGGGCTAGCTCGTGCTGCTCAGTGTGCCGGGAAGAGAGCTCAAATATATTTTAGCTCTGCGCCATTGCAAGTTGCACCCCTACGTGGTGATTGCTTTATGTTTTTGCTCTGTGTACGGACTGTCGACTGTTGAGCCTATTCATAGTTCACGTCACGTTGCCGCCAAATTAACCATTTGTATGCATTTGTGGGGGTGATATATACGTTCCGTCAGTATACCGAACAGCATACGTAGCTCAAAACTATTCTTCACTTAATAATTTCTCGGCAATGCTACACGTACAAACGATTTACAGGCTTTTAC